GGGGATGGAGGAGGGACCTCCTCACTGTGGGATGGAGGGGTGACCCCCTCCCTGTGGGGATGGGGGGATGGAGGAGGGACCTCCTCACTGTGGGATGGAGGGGTGACCCCCTCCCTGTGGGGATGGGGGGATGGAGGAGGGACCTCCTCACTGTGGGATGGAGGGGTGACCCCCTCCCTGTGGGGATGGGGGGATGGAGGAGTGACCCCCTCACTGTGGGAGGGGGGGATGGAGGGGTGAGCCCCTCACTGTGGGATGGGGGGCAGAGCCTGTGCCAGCCCCCAGAACCCCAATCCTGCCCCTCACCTCGGCAGGGGATGGGCAGCGCTCCGTGTGTGATGAGCGAGCCCGTCCTCCTCCTCCTCCCTTTCATCCCTCCTCTGCTCCTCGGGGACAGTGGGATGGGGATTTGGGGATGTGGGAGCAGCTCCCTGGTGAGTTTTCCCCAGGGGAGGAAGCTCCACAGCCTTGGCTCGGGATGTGATTCCGAGCAGGATCCTGAGCTGGTGTTTTTGGGTGGTACACGTGGATTCTCCAGTGTCCGATGGAATTTTTGGGATCCTTCCCCCTCCACAGCACCCAGGACCACCCTCCCATCTCCCTGGTGCTAATTAAACTCAGAACATAATTGGCCACTTCTTTTCCATGTGATTTTGGGCCAGGTTTGCTGATCCTGGCACCTCCTTCCTCCAGCCATGGAAAACTGTGGAAGGTACCAATTTCCATGTCCCCATTTCCAGTTTCTGGAGCATCTCTTGATCTTCAGTGGATTTATCCTCTCACAGGGAGAGGGTGCCAGGAAAAGGGGGAATGGCTTCCCACTGCCAGAGGGCAGGGATGGGTGGGTTATTGGGAAGGAATTCCTGCCTGGGAGGGTGGGGAGGAGCTGGAATGGAATTCCCAGAGAAGCTGTGGCTGCCCCTGGCTCCAAGGCCAGGTTGGAGCAACCTGGGACAGTGGAAGGTGTCCCTGCTCATGGCAGGGGTGGAATGGGATGAACTTTAAGATCCCTTCCAACCCAAACCACTCTGGGATTCCGCGAAGAAGATGATAATGATGATGATGATGATGATGGTGATGATGATGATGATGATGAAGAGCCTGTTTTCCAGCCTCAGGGAAGGCTCCACAGCGGTTTCTCCCAGCACACAGCACTGCCCTGTGGCCCTGGCTGCAGCCCTGTCCCATTTTGGGGTCCCTTGGCCATCCCCCCCTCCTCCATCCCCTGGCGTGGGGATGTGGGGCCGTGCCCCTCTGGAGTGCCCCCACTGCCCCTCCCCTGGCACCTTCAGCATCCACACTGCCAGGAGCATCCAGTGCCTTTTCCACAGGCTCCAGAAATAATTGCATGTTCCCAGCAAATTCCCTTTGTCCTCTAAAAATATCCCTCGGCCCCGGCGCTGACCGTCCGCGGGTCCGGGGCCCTAATTGCTGATTTCTGCTAAAATCCGACATTTTCAGGGCAGGAGGGAGGAGCACGAGGGAATGAGCCACTTCTGGGAGGGGGACTGCATTGTCTGCTGCTAAGTATAGCCTCCAGATTTCATGGCTGGCCTATAAAACCCCGGAATTTTCCTCAAAGCAGATGGGGAAGGGTTTGTCGCACCGGCCAGCCCCGTCTGGCGGGGGTGAGGAGGGGAGGGAGCTCTCCCTGCCCCTGGGCTGTGCTTAGAAAAGGCTAAATGGGGATGAATTTCATAAATCCCCCTCCCTTTGATGCCTTGACCTCCACTCCTGCTTCATCTCGGCGCGGGGGAGGTCCCCAGGGACCGAGGGAAAGGTCCTCGAGTTCCCATCCCCGGGATGCTCCCTGCTGCTCCAGCCCTCCTGCTGCTCTCTGCTGCCATTGCAGGGATTTAAACGCTGGCAAAAACAAAAAGCAAAAACAAAAAAGCTAACCAAACAAAAAAAAAAAAAACCCATGCAAACAAACAAACAAAAAAACCAAAACAAAACAAAAAAAAAAAAAAAACCCAAAAAAAACAAAAAAAAAAAAAAAACCCAAAAAAAACAAAAAAAAAAAAAAAACCCAAAAAAAACAAAAAAAAAAAAAAAAAACAAAAAACCCCCCAAAAAACAACAACAACAAAAAAAAGAAAAAAACCCAAAAACCAAACAAAAAACCCAAAAAACCCCAAAAACACACCCATAAAACCCTGCCCTGGGGCCATCTCTTCTCCAATCACTGCACTTCCAAATTTTGCAGCTCCCATCACGATTCCAGGCCGGCTGGAGAAGTCGGAGATTTGGGATCTGTAGGGGCAAAGCACCAGTTTTAGGGAGCAAAACGCACGCTAAAAAAAGGAAATGTTGCTGTGGTACCCTTAATTTGCTAATTAATTCCCCCCTCCCTGCTTTCTGCTGCTGTTCAGCAGGGATGGCTGTGCCCGGGTGGGTGCCTGGCACTGCCTCCTCTTTTTGTCAGCCCTCCCCAAAAAAAAAAAAGCACGGCTGGATGTGCCCATCAGCACCACCCCAGCCAGGCACCAGCGACTAACTGCCGATAATTACAAAAAATCCGTGGCTCTTTAGGGCATTTCTGGCACCCTGAAATCATCACTGGAGGCAGAGCTTTTAATTAATGCAGCCCCGCGGGTCCCCTGCGCTGCCTGGGGGTCACTGCGGAGGGTGGGGGGCTCTGCCAGATCCAGGGGGGTGCCAGGGCAGCAGGGACAGCTCTGGGTGGGTTTTTGGGGTGTCCCAGGTTGGTGCCAGGGCACAGGGATGGCTCTGGGTGGGATTTTGGGGTGTCAGGGTGATGTGCCAGCGCTGCAGGGACAGCTCTGGATGGGTTTTTGGGGTGTCCCAGGTTGGTGCCAGGGCACAGGGATGGCTCTGGGTGGGATTTTGGGGTGTCCCAGGTGGGTACCAGTGTGCAGGGACAGCTCTGGGTGGGATTTTGGGGTGTCCCAGGTGGGCACCAGGGTGCAGGGACAGCCCTGGGTGGGATTTTGGGGTGTCCTAGGTGAGTGCCAGTGCTTCAGGGATGGCTCTGGGTGGGATTTTGGGGTGTCTCAAGTGGGTGCCATGGTGTAGGAACAGCTCTGGGTGGGTTTTTGGGATGTTCCAGGTGGGTGAGCTCCCGCACCCCCCGTGCAGGGCAGCGGAGGAAATCAGTCATCGAAGGAAATCGGTCACCGAAGGAAATCGGTCACCGAAGGAAATCGGTCACCGGGGGTTGCTGTGGAAACGGGAGAAGCCCGGGCGGTGCCAGCGCGGCTCTGCCCAGCCCGGCCGGGGAGGGGACACGAGCCCCCGGTCCCCCTGCTGTCACCCTTCGGGATGCTCCCAAAAGGAGCTGCGTCCCGCGGTGCTGCTGCTGTGGGCGCTGCCACGGCTGGTTTGGGCTGGTTTGGGCTGGTTTGGGGCTGTTTTTTGCTGTTTGGGGCTGATTTGGAGCTGTTTTGGGATGTTTTGGGCTGTTTTGGGATGTTTTTGGGGCTGTTTCGGGATGGTTTGGGATGTTTTGGGGGTTGTGCCCCTCCCCACTTCTGCTGTGCTCCCTGCTCCCCCCCCTGCCCGAGGGACGCAGGAATTTCCTTTCATAAAACCATGGAATTCCAGAGTGGTTTGGGTTGGAAGGGGCTTTAAATCCAATCCCATCCCACCCCTGCCATGGCAGGGACACCTTCCCCCAGCCCAGGCTGCTCCAAGCCCCAGTGTTCAATCTTCCCTGGAACAATTCCAGGGATTTGGGGCAGCCCCAGCTGCTCTGGGCACCCTGTGCCAGGGCCTGACACCCTCCCAGGGATGGATTTCCATGAGGAAATACAGCTGGGGCTGGGGCAGATGGAGGAATACCTCCAAAACCTTCCTGCGTCCCGCGGTGCTGCTGCTGTGGGCGCTGCCACGGCTGGTTTGGGCTGGTTTGGGCTGGTTTGGGCTGGTTTTTGCTGTTTGGGGTTGGTTTGGAGCTGTTTTGGGATGTTTTGGGCTGCTTTGGGATGTTTTTGGGGCTGTTTCGGGATGGTTTGGGATGTTTTGGGGGTTGTGCCCCTCCCCACTTCTGCTGTGCTCCCTGCTCCCCCCCCTGCCCGAGGGACGCAGGAATTTCCTTTCATAAAACCATGGAATTCCAGAGTGGTTTGGGTTGGAAGGGGCTTTAAATCCAATCCCATCCCACCCCTGCCATGGCAGGGACACCTTCCCCCAGCCCAGGCTGCTCCAAGCCCCAGTGTTCAATCTTCCCTGGAACAATTCCAGGGATTTGGGGCAGCCCCAGCTGCTCTGGGCACCCTGTGCCAGGGCCTGACACCCTCCCAGGGATGGATTTCCATGAGGAAATACAGCTGGGGCTGGGGCAGATGGAGGAATACCTCCAAAACCTTCCACCTGAAATACCCCAAACTGGGCTGATATTGACTGAAAAAAATAGATAAAATATAAAAAATATATAAAATAAAAAAGTATAAAATATATAATATATAAAAATAATATTTAAAAAGTAAAATATATAAAATATATAAAATATATAAAATATATAAAATATATAAAATATATAAAATACTGAGCTGTGCCCTAAATGGGAACAATTGGAGTTGGGAAGGGTTGGAGGGGCAGGGAGAGGTTTGGGTGCAGGAGGGGGTCGGGGGGGATATGGGGCTGGTGTGGGAACTGTGGGGGTGCAGAGGGGTGTGGGGTGGGCACGGAGCGTGTGTGGGGTGCACAGGGTGGCCGAGGGACAAGGGGCCATCTAAGGGACAGGGAAAGGGACAGGGGCAGGGACAGGGACAGGGGCAGGGGCAGGGGCAGGGCAGGAGGCAGCGGGCTCTGGGCAAAAGCGATCCGCAAACGCCGGGCGAGCGCAGAGCAGCAGCAGCAGGAGGAGGAGGAGAGGAGGAGGAGGAGGAGGAAGTCGGGGCTGAGCCGCTTCCTGTAGGCAGCGGGATGAGCGCAGACAAAGCTGGGTGGGGACTCGCCGCTCGGGGCTGCTGCTGACCACCATCCTCCTCCTCCTCCTCCTGCTGCTGCTGCTGCTGCGGCCGCATCCCTTAGGCCCTCCCTCCTCCATCCCTTCCTCCATCCCAGCGTCCGTCCGCCCGTCCCTCCATCCATCCCTCTGTCCGTCTGTCCGTCCCGCCGCCGCCCGCCCCGCGGGGAACGGGGCACCGCTTCCAGGTACGGCCGGGCAGGGGGGAATGGGGGCACTGGGAGCACTGGGAGGGCTGGCACTGGGAGCACTGGGAACACTGGGAGGGCTGGCACTGGGAGCACTGGGAACACTGGGAGGGCTGGCACTGGGAGCACTGGGAACACTGGGAGGGCTGGCACTGGGAGCACTGGGAACACTGGGAGGGCTGGCACTGGGAGCACTGGGAACACTGGGAGGGCTGGCACTGGGAGCACTGGGAAGGCTGGCACTGGGAGCACTGGGAAGGCTGGCACTGGGAGCACTGGGAACACTGGGAGGGTTGGCACTGGGAGCACTGGGAGGGCTGGCACTGGGAGCGCTGGGAGCACTGCGAAGGCTGGCACTGGGAGCACTGGGAACACTGGGAAGGCTGGCACTGGGAGAGCTGGGAGAGCTGGCACTGGGAGCACTGGGAGGGCTGGCACTGGGAGAGCTGGGATCACTGGGAGCACTGGGAGCACTGGGATCACTGGGAGCACTGGGAGCACTGGGATCACTGGGAGCACTGGGAGCGCTGGGAGCACTGGGATCACTGGGAGCACTGGGAGCACTGGGATCACTGGGATCACTGGGATCACTGGGAGCACTGGGATCACTGGGATCACTGGGAGCGCTGGCAGCGGCCGCCCCGCCCGCACTGGCGCAGGTGGCGCTGGGCAGGGCTGTCCCCACCCCCGCCAGCCGCTGTCACTGACCCCCGTGGGGACCGAGCCGCTCCTAAATGGGCAGGAAATCCCCCCAAATCCCGCAATGGCCGCAGCCCACGGGGACCCCGCGGTCTCGGGGGGCGATGGGGGCGCGGGGGTCCCGCCCCGCCGGGGGAAGGTGCTTTGTGCGGGGAGTTCAGGCTCCCAACAAAGGTTGGATTTAAAGGGTTTGATCCTCCTTAATCAGCTGATTTGCCATCACAGGCAAGGCTTTCTCCGTGGATGAATGAGACGTAGTGTTCTTTCTTTCCTGATTTTGGTGTTTTTTTTTTTTTTTTTAATCAGGGGAAGGAAGGAAGGAAGGAAGGAACGGGGAGACTTTCCCAACCCCAAATCCCCGCAGCAGCCTGTGCTGGGATCAGCCCCAGCCTGGCCTGGAGGGATTTGGGGGTGATGTCCATGCTGGTCCATCCTGCCATCCCTACAGCGGGATGTGTCCCTCTCCTTTCTATCCAAATCCGTGCTTTTTATCCAAAGCAGAGCTTTCTTTGGGTGAAGGATTCCCGGGAAAACCGCCGGGATGAGCTCAAGGAAAGCTGGTCCAGGGCTGGCTTGCCCCAGCGGGAGGGGGGAATCCAGCAAAAAACTGACACAGGGAAGATTAGGAATAGAAATTGGGGGAAATTCCTGGCTGGGAGGGTGGGCAGGCCCTGGCACGGGGTGCCCAGAGCAGCTGGGGCTGCTCCAAATCCCTGGAATTGTTCCAGGCCAGGCTGGACAGGGCTTGGAGCAGCCTGGGAAGGTGTGGATGGCAGGGAGTGGAATGGGATGGGCTTTAAGGACCCTTCCCATCCATGTCAGAGATTCCATGATTCTCGCCTCCTTGGTGGAAAACGATTTATATATAAGGACAATCCTGACGCACAGCGATACCCCCTCATTAATCAATCGCTAATGAGCTGCTAATGAACTTAGAGCACGGTGCCCAAAGGGCAGCGGCTCGGAGCAGCAGGGATCTGCCTCTGCTCTTCCTGCTGCTGCCTCTGGGCTCTAATTTCTTTCCCCATCTCCCCCTGCCCTCCCGAATCGCTCCCGATCCATCTCCTCCCCAGGGATGCCGTGCTCCTCACTCCTGGAGAAGGAAGGGGCCGTGTGGATGGGTGGCAGCAGGATGCAGCCAGGCACTAGGGGTTTTTCCTTATAACTGGATTTCCCTGAATGCAACTGGAGCATGCGATTTTAATCCTCTTTCCAACCATATGGCCGCTGGCTGGATTGAAATATGACTCAATTAATTATTGCCAGCAAAGCCCTGGGGCCAAGCCTTTCTCGGGGAGGGGGTTTGGGGGTGCTCCCGGGGTTCTGATGGGGCTTTTCTCACCCTGTGCTGTGGGATTCGGGGATGGGGCTCAGCTCCATCCCGCCCCAGTTTCTGTGCTGGCCCCACAAGGCCGGGCACGGCCCCAGCTGCTCCTTGGCACCAGTTTTTGGGGCTTTTTTAGGCATTTCCAGCCTTGCAGGAGGAGGCAGGGATGCTGCTTGATGCAATGTGCTGCTGGCTGCTCACCTGGAGCAGCAGCCTGGCAGTCTCAGCATCACCTGGATGACGGCTGGAGGCAGCCCTGCCCCCAAAATGGGAAATTCCCAGCTTGGGAGGACCTGTGGTCCCCTCTCCCAGCTTCCCTGGGAGCTGCCAGCCTTGCTCCCAGGGGATGGTGCACCAGCCTGAAGGATCTCGTGGGGTTTTCTCCTTGCAGTCACGAGCTGGTGGTGGCTTGGTGGGGCACATTTTGGATCTGGGGGAGATGATGACTGAGGCTGCTTCATGGCATGGGGGTGCTCAAGGCCAGGAGCAGGCAATCCTAGAGGGATTCCCATGGATTGATGGCTGCGAGCTGGTGAAGAAGCTCTAATTTTTCTAAAAAATATTATTAATATTATTACTATTATTATTACTGTTATTAATCCCCAATCCCGCCCGCTGCTTTGCCACCCCATGCCAAGTGTAAAATGCAATAAAAAAATGCAATTTTTCCCGGGTTGGGCAGTGCCATCCCACCTGGCAGCCCCGCGGATGCTCCCGCTGGAATTCCAGGGGCTCCTGAATCCCGGTGAGTCACCGAAGGAGGACAGCCAGGCGCCGGCGCTGGCTGTTTCCATAGTAATTAGGGCTGGAGAGACGGTGCTGGAGCCCCCCGTGTCCCCAAAAAGCGCTGCCAGGGGCGGCTGTGCCGCTCCATCCCGCCCATCCCGCCGGGATGCTCCAGGCGGGCACGCCCGGGATCGGGGGCTGCTCCCTCCCGCTGGATCGCCCCGTTTGGGGCTGGGATTTAGGGCTTCACCCTGGCAAAACAGCATTTTAGGCTCGAGTGGCATCAATTCTCAGCGTGACTTCCCCGAGGGTCTCCCTGCTGTGCCCGGAGCGGGATGGGAAAGCGGGATGGGAAAAGTGGGATGTGCCCGTGTGTGGTGACAGCCAGCACGGAAGAGAGGAACGGGCTGAGGGATTAGGTTGGATTTTCAGGTTTTCTTGCTTTTCAGGCTCTTCTCTTGCTGTTCTCCCTCTCTGGGCTCAGCCTCTTTGTGGGGAGGAGGGATGAGGGCAGTGGGAAATGAAACCCCATTCCATGGAAAGGGATGTGGCTGCATCCTGCTCCACTGAGCAAGGGATTTTTTTGCCTGTCCTCGCACAGTTTTATTCCCTGCTCACTTCCAACCCAGCTTTCCATGTGCATTTTTCCTTCTGGGCGCCTCGTGCATGGTGCAAACCCCCCAAATCCACTCCCTTTAGAGCACAGGAGTGGCCTTGTCCACCCAAAATCCTTGGGAGGAATGACCAGGAATGGCCCAAAATCCCTCCTGGTCCTGCTGCTGGTGGGAAGCTTGGGGTGGCTGCAGGGACAGGGACAGGGACAGGGGGAGGGACAGGGACAGGGACAGGGGCTGGGGCTGGGGGAGAGGCAGCTCTGAAGTGGGAAGGGCAGGATCCAGCTGGATGGGTTTGGCTCCAGGGAGACGCCAGGCTTGCTCCAGAGTGGCTGGGATGGAGCTGGAGGGGTGTGGGTGTTGGATCAGGGCAGTGGTTAATTAATGGTGCCTTTGATTGGGAATGTGCCAGGGAATCGAGGTGCTGGGTGGGCAGGGAGGAGGCTGGATGCAGGAGCAGGGAATGACAGAGCAGGGAATGACAGGAGCAGGGAATGGCAGGAGCAGGGAATCAGGGAATGGCAGGAGCTGGGAATCACAGATCAGGGAATGCAGGGAATCAGGGAATGGCAGGATCAGGGAATCAGGGAATGACTGGATCAGGGAATGACAGGAGCAGAAATCACAGATAAGAGAATCACTGAATCACAAGATGCAGGGAATCACAGATCAGGGAATCATGGATCAGGAAATGACAGGGTCAGGGAATCAGGGAATGGCAGGATCAGGGAATCAGGGAATGACTGGATCAGGGAATGACAGGAGCAGAAATCACAGATAAGAGAATCACTGAATCACAAGATGCAGGGAATCACAGATCAGGGAATCATGGATCAGGAAATGACAGGGTGAGGGAATCAGGGAATGATGGGATCAGGGAATGTCAGGAGCAGGGAATCAGGGAATGACAGGAGCAGGGAATCACAGATCAGGGAATGGCAGGATCAGAAATCACAGTCAGGGAATCACTGAATCACAGGATTCAGGGAATCACGGATCAGGGAATCACAGATCAGGGAATGACAGATCAGGAAAAGACAGGATCGGGGAATCACAGGATTAGGGGATCAGGGAATCACAGAATTACAGGATCAGGGAAGGTGGCTTGTGTTGGAAGGGGTCTCAGAGACCATCTGGGATGGGTGAGGACGCAGCCGTGCTGAGGCTGGAGTCTAAAATCACTCATCTCCTGCATTTCCTGTGGGAATGGTCCAAGCGCCAGGATCAGTGGGAATAAAAATCCCTTCTGAAATGACATTGGGCCAAGCCTTGAAAAATCAGCACCTTGCAGCTGAGGCACCCTGGATAATTCCTGGGAAGCAGCTGCACCAGGACCTGCTTATGCTCCCAAACACAATTAATTTTCACCTTATCTCGTCCTTTCCTGGCTTTTCACTCAGCAGTTTCCTTCCTCTTATCTGTCATCATCATCCTCGTTAGAGCCCGAGTTAATTAGTTTATCCAAGGGAAGCTCTCCTGGTTGGAGCTCTCTGCTGCTCTCCTGCAGATTCCCAAGCCAGCTGAGCTGCAGGTTGGTTTTTCCAGGGGTGCTGCTCCCAGGAGCTGCTGGATAAGCTCCTTTGGCTGAGCTGCTGGCTCAGTTTAACAGGTTTATCTTCCTCTCTGCTCTCCCG